ATATGAAATCTCTGTTCACAGATTTAAAGAGCCCTACCAGAAGATTAAAACCTGATAAGTCAAACAAACAAAAACCCCATCCATTCTGGAACACTTTCAACAGTTCATGGCCTTGTGCATTAGCAGGTCTTCCACGAGTGAGAGAAGAACTGAATTATACCTCAGGTTCTGTGCCCCCGGATCCTCTTCCCGCTCTTACATTCAACCTACATACAGCCCAGTTATATCAGCCATGCTGGGACCAGGCTGAGGGTAGGAAGCTGGGGTGATTGTCTGCCTCTCTGGCTGCATTCCTCAGCTAAATATAAATGATTTGTCCAGTCCATTGTTTGAAATTATCCATAATCCCTCTCCTCCCCTCCCCATTCATCATGATGGCAGGCTGACTGCACATCTTTATAGCAAAAATATACATACAAAACCTTCACTCCGGCTATTTTTAGTAAAGAAAAGGGAAGTGTCAGGTACACATGGGTCAGAGCATGAGTCCCTAGTCTCCACTAATCCAGGAAAGCTTCCTGGAGGAGGAAATGCCTGAGTTGCCCCAGTGAAGGGGACAGCTGCAGGTCAGAAAGGCACTGTCACAACAAATCAAGAAATTTGGTTCCCGGAACAGAGCCTAGAAAGCTGCTGCTTTCTTTTCCCACTTTAGAGGAGGATGAGGAGGAAATGTCGGGATACCCAGGAGATCCCATATTACCCCAAGACTGTCAACTTCCCTAGATGCTATAGACATTCCGGGAAAGATGCAGGAAAAAATAGAGCAACACATTAAAGACAGAGATCCCAAATTCTAGTTCCAACATGCACAACTACAAATACTGGTCTCATAAGCTAGTGGCTTATTTGGACTTTTTTTTTTTTTAACCACAAGAAAGTTTTTAAAAGTCCCAAACTTGAGTGCACAGATGGGCTGCATCTCGGACTTAGGGACGTGCCAAAGCCCTGTCACTCTGAGAACCGATCTGCCAGCAGTGGCCCAAGGAGTGATTGGGGGTACCCAGGAAGCTGCAGGCAGTATCCCAACCTGCCCAAAAGGTCCTGGCCCTCTCTATGCGCCCTGTATGAACTGTCAAGCCAGTCTACTGGACCCTTGACAGCTCCGAGGGTGTCCCTTTCTGCTGCATCCTACGAACCTCCCATCCCTTCCCCTGGGCTTCCGTTGTCCACTCTCCTGCAACCCCATTCCCGAAGGTCTTCCTCCGAGCCTCTCCCTAGGCAGACTCCTGTCGGCTGAGTGACTGGGCTCCGCACGCACCTTCCCGCCCCCCTCTCGCGGCGCCTGCCCCATTCCTCCTCCTCTCGCCCCACTGTCGCCCTGCCCACACCGCCTCCCCA